TAATACACCCGATTTCAAATGAGTGCGAACTCTCGAATTTTTTTTCGGACGCTAAACTTTTATTCGACCGTCATTCACTCGACCACTTGGTAACCTGGCACAGCTTGAAGCGGGTAAAATTATCCAAGTATAAAAACCATGGTTAATGTATGTCTGTGGTCTAAATACCTACGGTTTGTGATCGCACTACAAAACGAACTTATTGTAAAAACTAGTTTCGGTTTACTTAACTTTCTCAGCTCACAATTTTGAAAAATAAATGTTAGTATGCGTTTCTCAGGATCTTGTGATTCTTTGAGCTTTATTCAACTACTGACTAGATTTTAGATTTTACAAGGTATTTTCTAAGCTACAAAAATCAGTTAAAATTCTATTTACTTAAGCTTTGACATTAGAAGCAGAATTCCTATTGGTGATGTTACTAAAAAGGGCGTAATCACGAATTAAATTAACAATTCGTCAACTTTAAGATGACGCAGTACAGAAAAACACTTTTAAAAGATATATCTTACTTCTAGCGTAAAGTCCTACAATTCAAAATTAATGATTCGATACTAGATAGATTTTCCTATATACCTTGCTATAAAATATTAAGTATTATTCGAATTTGAGCATAAACGAGAGCAATCTAATTTTATAGTTAAGTGTTTTGTAAACATTGATACGACCTGATTCTAGTTTAGGATGATAGACAAGTCCTTCAAGCTAATAGCACCGAAAGTAAACTTTTAAGGAAAAACAGGAAAATAGTCTTAAATAACCTATTAGTTAAGTCAATGAAATGTTGACCTAAAGGAAATGTAAACAACTTATTAGGAACAACATGTCCTTATTGGCCTTTTAAATATATATTGACATTGTTGCCTTGAAAACTAATTTTTTTTAAATGAAGGCAATTACGAGTAAATATAGAATGACTCTCGTATGCAATTATAATGATCTCGAAGTTAAACTGTTATCAATAAAGCTCTTAAGTTAATATCCCAAATCAAATTATATATCTCTTTTTTTGTTTTGTTTTATAATGCTGAACTTCTAAATACCATAGCTGTCCCTATGATTCTGTTCTGGAATAAAATAATCTATAGGAACAACGTGATATATTATCTAATTGAATATATATTGAATATATTGAAATTTTGGCTCCTTAACATAAATAGCGTGACAAACACTGACAAGCGCGCGCACTTTAAATCGCTTTTAGTGTTCGTAGGCTGTTCTTTGTTGATTTTACTAGTTTACTGATTAAAATGAAGAGGTTATCGGACGATATTCAGTGGAAGGTTATTTACCATGAACTTATTTACGGTTCAAACTTGTAGAGCGTTATTTGTAGGGAAAACATTTGCTTGTAAAATTCGACAACTTTATAAACGTACAGGAAATGTATGTTGCTGTACATAAACATGTAAGTGTCATTGTAAACTTGTATTCAATCAATCAGTGTTTTTACAGTAATACGAATAAGAATATATTTACTTCTTCGAAACTAGAAGGTTACATTTAAACATAAGCTACTTCGTTTTCAACCTTTAATTTAAACAACAATGTTGCAATTATTATTTCGCTTGCTTGATAATTTTTTTATTGTAAACATAATTTGTTTACATAACGAAAGAAAAGAAAAATGTGCATTTTAGTTCAACATAAGACTATCTTTTCAAGATGCAGAAAACAACACCCTCAAGTTCATGGTTCTTGCAAAGCTATACCTAATTGTGCAAAGTATTATTTGCATGCATTTGATGTTTGCAAGTTAATAAAGTCAAATTTAAACTACAAATCAGATAGAAAATTATATTTTTTAATCAATTTTAGTTGATATTCTTCTAATTGTTCTCAATGAGTGAAGTAGAATGTTCTGTGAAACACAAGGACCAAAGATATCTCGAACAAAGACCACTGCTTCTTCCTCCATAATTCTAAATGCGAAAGTCCCGCTACAGAAAGTCACGCATCACTTACTAAACACGTGTGTCTGGTTACCAAAGCGGTCGAGTGAATGAAGGTCGAGTGAAAGTTTAGCGTTCAAAAAAAAATTCGAGAGTTCGCACTCATTTGAAATCGGGTGTAATGAAAGCCTTTATGAGTTTTTTTTTTTAGATTTTAGGCCCGTTTGATGGAGTTATTAACATGTATTAAGGCAGGATAAATTCACGCTCGATGGTCAGGGTTAAGAGCGAACTTGACCCAAACAACCAACAACCAAAACAAATGCTAGCAAAAAAAACTACGCAAAAGTGAACCAACGGCAAGGGAAGGCACCGCTAATTATTGTGAGGGGAGGGCTGGAGTGGTAGAGGGGAGGGCTGGAGAGGGGAGGGTCGTATATCAATTTTGCAAGTTTTAGGGGAGGGTCACGTCTTCACTCGAAAGCTTATGTAAGGGAGGTCATCCTAATTTTTATGTTTTAGCCTATATCAGCTATGTGGTTTACTGATATTTGTAGCTTAATAGCGGAGCACCATAGCTAAGAAAAAATGGTATTCTTGGTGCGCAACCACATGACCAGGAATCCCCTGAGAAATAAAGAACAAAGCTATCGCCGCCATGTTGGATGAATGAACMAGARWAAYWAAKGAGGAATKCTKTGTGATTTTCATCCAACATGGCGGTGATGACGTAACTTGCACACCAAGCATACCACCGATTCGATTTTTCATGGTTCGACACAGGGTTCCCGTGCGTCCACACGTTCCCTTTTCAATGCGTCCATGTACCACCAAAGGAAACCCATACTCTGAGCAAAAATAGATTAACAAAGTATATTTGTTGAAAAGTTAAAATRTGGCCGTCAAACATTTATCTTTGAAATTGGTAATAATAAACCAATCACATGACGAAAATCCACAGGAGAGCGAAATCAAATTAATTCTTTCGACTACATGGCTAATTATTGGATACTTATATTAAGAGCTTTAGAGTAGTGGTTTTCATAAACCCGTGAAACAAAAGTGTAATAATTAGAGTGTAATAGATCGTAATAGTCGCGTAGAGACAATAAAAACAAAACGGAGCCAAAGTGTAATAGCGATAAATACGCTAAGTGTCTTTCACGGGTTAACGAAAACCACTCCTTAAAAACAATCAAAAACATTATAAAACTTGTGATATAGAATAACCATTAACGGTAATCAGTAGAGATTTATAAGAGTCAATATTCTGAACCCAGGTGTAAGCGATGTAGAGGAAATCATAGAGATTACCGCCAATTTTGTCGTAGCTTCTACGGCGCGTTTGCACATCCGCTAAAATTGATTTATAAAAGATAATTAAAAAGGACAAAAAGCAATTTACTTTCAACAAGCGTTTCGAGAGTCACTTTTTACGAATAAGAAAAAAAGAAAACAATGACTTTTCGCTTTGATCAATTTCGACAACAAGAAGAGGATGACTTTGTATTGGAAATGCTGCATTAAATTGGCTTGCTTTGCCCATTCCATCAGTGTGACTTAATAGGCCATTTGCATTATGACGTAACTTTACTACAACTGCCAGAGAGCCTTGAGCATTTTCATTGTTATTCAGATTTTTAATCCATTTGGAGATTAATAAAACAATTGGCACCAATTGCATTACAAAAGAAAGTTGGCAATGCATTCTGGTAGTTGTAGTAAATGACGACATAATGCAAATGGGCTATTGCATACTTTTTCTGTAAACTACTTGTGAGTGAAGGATGGGGGGAAGGGTCATTAGTATTTTTGGTACTTTTGAGGGGGGGGGGTGTCAAAAGGCTAGTTATGAAGTTCTTGCCACTTTGAGAGATCATAAACAGTCGATCCATGACGTCCGAACGGGAACAATTCTTTAATATTTTAATCTCAACAGGTATTAGTTAAAGATGCAAACATTATATTAAAAGTACAAGTAACGAGGTTAAACAAGGCTGCTGGTATAAAGATCAAAATCAAAAGTCAAAATCTCAAACTAGTTCAACCATAATCCACTGCGGTCGATTCGATCCTGCATAAAAAATCTTAATTTTTTATCTTAAAATCAATTCTTGTCCATGTCAAGTCTTCCGATTTGCATATGTGGCATATATTTTYCCCCCGATTTGCTGGCAGGCACCTCTCCCAGGGAATCGATCACACTCGACCAAACTGACTCTTTTTGGGAGATCGCTTAAGTAGCAAAACTGGCTTACGAAGCGAGCTGCGCTCAGAACTCGATGTTTCTTTGTAAAATCTATGTCTTACGCACTTCAAAATTTGTAGTTTGGGATTTCTAGGCGTTGTTGACAGGTGACGCTGCAGAACACAGAGGATYGTATGGAATTCTGGATTCTGAACCAAAATCGTCATTTAGATTCCAACTGAAAACTACGCAAAGSTAAATAATCGAATAAACATAAAGGTGCGCTCTTATAAATATCAACATTTTAAGCATATCTTAGTGCTGACTGGTTTTGCCATGATTCTTTAGGAAACGACTATGATTTTGTGTTAACACGACACTGGAAAGAAACACATTGGACACGCTCAGAACATGAACGGTTACTTGGCGCAAAGTTTTGTTTTGAATCACAAAATGGCAAAATGGCAAAAAAATATTGAAAAGTTAAGGTTTTCCTTATCACAGTGGCAAATAATTCTTATTTTCAACACCCTACTAAASTATGTACAAAACCTTTTCCATGTACATAAGAAATATACTTTGCCTTTGCATTAGCCGCATTTTGTTTTACAACACACGCATGCGTAGTGGGTTTCTTCCCAGGGTCGTCTATACACGCCAGAAGCTCTCTTGCCGTAAGAATTATAGAGTTTACTACTTTGTCTTTACTGTAAAACACAGCTATGTCGTGACGATTCCAGCTTGTCTTTCATACTTCTCAATTCTTCATTTCGTGGATCGCACCTCAGACCGTAAGCACGTGTTTTCCAAGCCTGTTGGTATAATTTACAGCTGTACTGACCAAAAGCAGTTTTGACAAACAAACTACCAAGTTGTACTTCCGGGTACTTCTTCTTGAACGTGTCTAGAGCAACCTTTTCGTCCATKTCCATTGCCCTCATCACATCTGCGCATGCTCTAGCAAACTCACCGAGTTGTGCTCCCAAACTTGCTCGCAAACAGTAATCCGTGATCAAGACATTTCCTGAATCAATTACCCTTGTGATGTCATCAAGTGCATTTGAGTAATACTGGAGACCAACCCAGCATTCAGAACGCTTGCGCAATACGTCACTCCGCTGACTCTTTGTAGCAACTACTGCTAAGTTCAGAAAACAAAGAGCATCTTTAAACTTTGAACAGGTAAGAAAGTCATTTGCTTGATTGACAGCCTGCTGCGTCAACGTTTGACGCTGCTCTGTGTTCAGAGTTTCAAGAAAAACGTCGAGTCCTTCCGGATCAAGTTGACACAATTTACTGAAAAGACTGGCAGCGGCTGAAAAGTCGCTCAATTTGAGATTGGCGAGGCCGAGCTGACCAACGACAAAGGTGTCTAAGGATGGAGATATATGATCAATGATTTCAAGCTCTTTGATCGCTTCTTTATAATTTCCCAACACGAAATAAGCGTCGGCTAAAGTACTATGGTACACTGCAACAGAACTGTCACTTTGGACAAGAAGCAAAGAAAGCGGCAATAACAATTCTGACATTACTCCACTCGAGCTTAACAAACCGAAATAGTTTTGAACACATGAGAACAAAACGTCAAGTAGATCCTTCTTTGTTTGTGGAGGAAGGTCTTGGATGATTCGAACCAACACCTCAGAATCAATTTGAAAGGCCGCTAACAAATCGTTCACCGATTCTTGCCAAGCTGTTTTCCGAATGAGAACCAAAGCTCGCATCAAATGCGATGGGATGTGCCTTGAGTTGATGTTAAGAGCTCTGGTGAAGTCTACTATCGCCTGTTCAAGGTTCCCGATGAGAAAATGCTGCTTTCCACGTTGAAAGTAACATTTCCAAGCTTGCAATGGACTGGCAACGATCGCTAATGTGAATAGTATGATTCTCTCCTTCATGGTATTTATCATACCTTCCCTGTATGCTTCACGAGCCAGTAGTCGTAAAACCTTCGGATCTGTTTCTTTGAACACTTCAGTCAGCTTGGTCTCGCCTTCTGTTTTGAGAATAGTAGAAAGTTCCCGAATTGCAATACTAGTCTTTCCAAGACGCATCTTCAGCAACGCGAGGTAAACAGATGAATTGCAGTTGCTTGGATTATTATTAACAAAACGAACAAGTATCGATTGAGATTCATCATTTCTATGGAATAACAGCAAAAGCTCTGCGTACACCACGTGAGAGTTGAAGTCGTTGGGAAAAAGTCTTGTTAAGAGCTGTCCGACTGTATAGAGACTCTCCTCACAATCTTCCATATCTGCTGTTTCTAAAGAAGTCTTTAAAAGCACTGTCAAACGTCTGCAAAATCCATTATCCTGAAGGCAGAATTCTCTGATGTTATCAACAACTGTTTGTAGTCCGTTCTTGTCGACTAGTTTGGTCAAAAGTCCAACGCCTCGCTCAAATTGTCCCATAAGAACAAGTGTTGCGAATTTTCCGCAAAGTGCGCGTAGATCCCGCGGGTTGATGGCAACAGCGCTACTGTAATCCCTAAGAGCACTCTCAAGATCATCCAAGGACACAAAACACAAACCACGATGGCAATATGCCTTAGTCGACTCGGGGCTTTGGGTGATAGCTTTGGAATAAACCTCTAATGCCTTTACCTTCATTCCTTGATGCAGAAAACATTCAGCTGAGTTAATGAGGACGTCTATGTTGGAGGAATCAAGCAAGAATAAAAGAGAGTAACAATCACAGGCAAGACTCAGTTGATTATCACCAATATGTGTGTGGATGCTGCATGGGCCGCAAGTCTTGCATTGGCTGCGATATTGATGTAAAATGTTATCAGCAAAACACTTGGCGTGTTCAGTGATCTTGGTTTGGCTTGCCAGTGGAAGTAGCTGGAGCGCTGATTGGGTAAACTGATGGTCGATACGTGAGGCTGTTAGGTAGTCATGTAACGCCAGCTCGTGTTCTCCTATGGTAAGATAGATCTCAGCTCTTTGTAATGCTATGTACATGACGTCTTTCTGCTGGGCGACATCCATGACTTCTGACAGGAGAATTACTGCTTCTTTAGGCTTGTTCATCTTCACAAGGACAGCTACGCAGCGTAAGCAGKAAGTGACGTCAGCGGGCTGGAGCATCAAGAGGAATTTGTAACACTCGACTAATCGCAAATCAGTGTCAACATCACTTTGCTTCAACTTTTCCACGAAATTGTAGAACACTTCAATGACGTGAGGAATATCATTCGTTTGTCTTTCTTGAATGTAGTCGKTAGTTGCTCTAGGGTTGATATCAAAGGCTGTGAGATAGTCAAGTACTGCATCATTGCTGTGGCCTAGGGTAAGGTGTGCGGCTGCCCTTGCGAGAATAAACGATGCTTCTTTATTGGTCACAAATTGAATCACGTGAGAGCATGATTCGATGGCGTCTGCAAATCGATTCTTGTGCATCTGAATATTAACCTTGGTCGCCCAGGCAACAAGTGAATTTGGTTTCATATTACTTTTGGTCAACCAATCACAAAGCTCCTCTACTGTTAAGTTGATGTTGTACATGGGAAAATGGCGACCAGTGTCAAACCCCCACAAACAGTAATCCTCAAGTACACCGACGAAGGTTTGAAATGACTGCTGGGATAAAGTACTTAGGTGCGTCTGAGTAACACAGGAATCCCAGTCGTACGCTTTACAATACATGATAACTGCCTGCTCTGTTTGACCACCGTTGAGTGAGGTATCTCCTTGGGATAACAGCTTGGAAAGACCGCTTGGGATGTTGGGATCTATTGATTCTGCCATTCCTAGAACAAAATAAATTGTTTAGAACTAAAAATCATATTAATAATATCTTGAACATTGAACTCGACTCACGACATCTTAAGCATTTTTAAAATTAAAATCTGATTTTAAAATTAAAATCTGTCGAACTTTCAGAAATGAAAACGTACAGAGGGAGTCACTTGTTCACATCACGTGTTTGCAGGCTCTGAACACGAAAGAACTAAACTAGGAAGGTTATTGATTCAGTTTCGTAAGCATACTACTCAAAGCTGCATGTGATCTACAGATGCGCGTGCTTCTGAAATACATTACGATGAGATCACCGATACCACATTTGAATGATCTTTTAATAAAAAAGACATAAAAGCGCAAGTAGCATTGAACAATCTAACGATCTATAACATTTGGGTTTCATGTGGTGCACAAACGGAAAGTGATAGATAGATAGTTCGATTGGCAAAAGATAAAACGAAAGTTGGTCCGGCCACAGCTAGCCCGACTAATAAGACCACACAAAATAAGACGGCCTCATGATCCCTAACATTCTCAAGTTAATCTGCAAGCCATTAAAGCTGAACACATTGGGTAGTTATAGATATTAGGTACCTCGGAGAAGACAATATTGGGGGCGGGAGGGAAGCACTCTTGATCACTCTTCAAAAACCATCTTTTGCATGTTTTTTTTCCTGAGGTTCCATCTAAACAATCGAGCAAATAGGGTAATCTCGAAGGTAATTTCTTCGCCCTAAATTGAGCTATTTTAGCAAAGGTTTGGGTCAAGAGGACGTCAAGAGTACTTTGGTGAACTTTCAAGTAAGGTATTGACAAGGAACGACAAAAGTTGTCAAGGTGTCAAGTATAAAACGACTAAAAAGGAAACCCTATTTTCACAACAAAATACTCAATATAACTGGGCTACATGGTGGGAAATAATCAACAGTGAACCGATGTCATGATGGCGCCACAAACAAAAGTTTCAATAAATTCTGTGTAATAATGCATGTATCTGCCATCAATGGAACTAAGACATTACTCAAGACTATGAAATTTGGTTAAGCTCCCTATGGTAACGGATTGATAACTTGCGAAAAATCGGTATTTTTGTTACACACTTCACACTTCAGTAATCTATCATACTCGATGAACCATCCTTACTATGAACAACCCTATACAACATACACCTGTATACATCGAATACCTCTACAAAACGACCACCTCTACGTAACGACCGCTATCATAGCTACAAAAACCTGCATCGAATACCTCTACAAAACGACCATCTCTATAAATAGTTTATAACAGGGACCGCGGAGCAGGGGGGCTGGGGGGCTATAGCCCCCCAAGAATTTTTCCGCCATTTTGAATTTTCTTAAATAAAGAAACGCAGAGCCTCCTTATGAAATTTCACTTTTCATTGTATTTAAGATTGTGTAAAAACCAAGCATGAAAAATTATTGAATCTTTTTGCGAAGTCTTTGGKACTTTTTTGAATATCGTGTGACCGTGTGTGCGGTTTTAGCGGTCAGAAATATGTCTGGGATAATGCTTCAAAACGCTGGAAATGACATTTCCGAGAGTTAAGATTTCAAAATTTTCCGGTGTGTAATTCCCCCGGATTCCACCTAGTACCTCCTGCCTTTGCAGCCGATAGCCCCCCCAAACAAATTACCGCTCCGCGGTCCCTGTATAATAGAAGTGGACAGTACCTCTATACACCGACCATCGGTCACCTCAGCAATCACGATCACGACCACCTCGATCAACAGACCGACAACCATTACGTTTTGCTAAAAGATAGTGAACACGACCACGACTCGATACATCGGTCAGACGTTCGATTCTGAACTGTCTGACAAAATCGAAAAAGTAGTTCTTAGAGCTCTCACAGTAACCGAAATATTCGAGCATTAATTTCAGAATTAAGTTGACAATATTTGAACAAATAAAGAATTGAAAAGCATCCTTTTGTTAGCCAAAGCCAGCTATTCACATGACGAAGCAACTTCCTTTAATTCAGGAAGCCAGTCTAATGCCTTCCTCGTAAACGTCAAAAAACAATATGACCGCAATAAAGCCGCGTTTGACCTTCGTCTGTTGTTGAAAAGTTGGTAGCTTTGATGAGCATCAGATTGAACAGAGGCAACGATTCAAATCAAAAACAACAATAAAATACGATAACCAAAACAAAAAAACTGAATGACAGATGGTATATTTTTTGTTACATGTATATAGTGTCTTATCGCCAGTCAGTACTTGAGATCAAATAAAGAACACTTGTTTCTAGAGAAACCTGCACCAACAAGAAACATGCACTGAAACAGTTTGATATCATGACAAAACGCGCCGAGAAAAGAAACGTTCATTATACAGGGCTACGATTGGTGTTTTGTACTATAATATTATTCTAATTAACTTCGTACTAACAGCCTTTTAAAACACTGAATAGTAACGAAGGAAGTTTGCCATTCATCTTTATTTATTACTAAATTGGTGTTATTAAAAATGAATAAGAACAGTAATTGGAGTCACTTACCAATTAAATCTGTAATATCAATTTCTGCTGGGGTATATAGTCTCAGTCGTCCTTGCTGTTGAAAGCCTACACAGACAAATCAAAGAGACTTGTGTTCATTGAAAYAGCACCGGCACTCAACTGGTCCACTCAAATGGTTTTACAGCTTACTGGATTGCCTCAATTGACGGGTTTATTGCCCTTCAACACTGACAACCGTGGGAATGGTTTATTCTCATTGGTTGGTTGTTAAGATGGAATTTTAATGGCGATAAGATGGGAAAACGACACCTCTAATGTGACTATGACGTAGCGTCGGGCTCAAAGTGACGTATGGGTTAACAAGTGTTTCTAGTGGTGGAACACCTGCCTATGAATTACGTCTGTAGCTTTTGCTTGGGCTTCCTGTGGAATAAGCGTTTTGACTATCTCCTCTTCCTCGCAGTTTAGTCCAGTCAATCTATGGATTTTGCTTGAACAAATTGCAACAGAATTTTTTTCACTGTAGAAATGTTCTTTAGCACTTGCTTAACAACATACTAAAAATCACCGTCAATCCCAGTGGTGGAACATATCGAAATCTAACTTTGAACTTTTCGCMATATTACACAGGGATCCMATAAATAGAAAAAATCAAAATGTTTGTACAAAGCAGCTAAATTCCATGCAATACATTATGCCCAACGTCAATATGTTCTTTTAGACCTTTTCATGATTCMAAGCAAGTAATGTGTGAAAACAAAGCCCTTTAAGCTAAAGCACAGGGATCCCATACAAAGAAATGTAAGATTAATTTTTATACAATAGCGATGTAAAACCATGCAAAATATATGTTTGCATCGTCCAAACATTATGTATTTTGTGAAATAACAACAAAAAGAAAAGAAAAATAATAACAAATAAACAAAAATGTTCTTTTTTTTATTTTTGCGAACTTACTGGTACTATATGCTAGTTTACTGATAATGCTTGAATGTTTTATTTCGACATCTCTAGCTATATATAAGACTAATAAAGACCTACTTGCTGATAAAAATACAARAGATCATTGGTATACAACAAATATAACGTTCCGTGCTTATGCTCAAGGCAGTTATTGTTCATATTGGGTATYGGCTAGTTATCAACATCAGTATTCATGTCTAAGTCGGGTTGGATGGCATTCTTACAGCTGTTTCCCTGACAGACACCACATGCTGATGTGCAACTCAATCCATTCTTTCGACAGGAGCATCTTAGAGTGTTGCAATCCGTTTTGCATTTGCATCTGATGAGCTCTAGAATTGATTCATGTGCAGGTGGTAGCTCAGTTCTTACAGCTTGGAACTTACCATCGATCAGTTTCCATCCCCATTCGTCAGGTGGTAAAGCGTTCCCTTTCCAATATTGTACTTGATGATAGACTCGCAGGCTATGAAGTTTAGCGGCTGTGGAGGTTGGCGGAAGACTCTCTGGCTGTACAAATGCTGTTCCAGCGGCAACTTTTTGACAAAACTTTACATATCTGAGGGAATCAAGGCTTTTGTCGAGTTTGCTGTTGTACAAACACAACAGTGCTTTCTCTCCTGCCATTATGACTTCATCCTTTGTGGAATCTTTGTCAGCAAAGATTAAGGCCTGTTCTCTGAAGGTAGAGCTCTTTGCGAAGCACTTCAGTGCTGCTCCTTTACCAATACCATATATGCCAGATGTAGTGTCACATCCCAAGATTGCATGTACAAATAAGATGTTGTCGCAAACATTTAAGTGAAGACTTAGTGCCCTTTATGCTCCAGATTCGTTTAGTTTTGGATCTTTTCTTAGGCTCTAGCTTAAAGAAGACGTCGTGCGCATCCATCTTAACATAATAGCAGAGAAGAACCAGCAAATCAGTGTCGTCACCAATAAGCACAGTCGTCTCAGATTCCGATGACTGAATTGTGGTTAGAGCAATGGCTAAATCGGCATCACTCACAGAGTGATACACTTTATATCCAGCCAGACGAAGTTTTTCTCCAAGGAGGTTAACAAATTTCTGCTTGTTTGAGGGGTTGGAGAGGAATTCAYCTTTTTTCAACTTGAGCACCATGTCTTGCTGGAAGTTAACCTCGGGGCTGTGTGCAGTGGTTCGTCGTTGGTGAGTGCAGTCTTTCGTAGACRGGCCACACATATAACCGTCAAAGACTATTGTAGCTCTGTTGTACCTTCGCTTGATATATTGAACATACTGAGCACAGATATCAGCATATGTCACATTGCTTGGCCATGGGATACGGTGCAAAAGGGCGCCACCATCAAGGACAAAATAAGGATCTCCTGCCGGTGATACTGTTTGACTGTTGCCAGTTGAACTGGCCCAAATTGCATCGGCTAAAACTGGTTTGTTGGCCTTGCGGAGAAGTAGTGAGGCATCGAAGAGAGCAGGTGGATAGCTACACATCTCAAACTTAAAGAATACAGAGGGATCATCATACTGTCCAGAAGTAGCTACAATGCTAAGTCTTTGGAACAGTAGTCCTGGATCTACTTGGATGTTGTCGCTGCCCACTTTGATATTGGTTTTGGATGCAAGTGTGGTGGCTTGTTCTTTCTTTTTGAATGAGTAAACATCTGCGTCTTCTCCTTTAAGCTTCTGGATTATCACTTGTCCAACTTCTTTCGACTTGTCAACGTTGACATTTGCTTCCGCAACAACACCTGAGGAAATACTACGAAGAGATTGACCT